TTTTTTTTTTTTTTTTTTTGGCAATAGTTTGAGTCGTGATCAAGCTTTCCGCTTAATCAATCACCATGGAAGAAGTAATAATATTAGAGGAATGCCAACTCTTTGGCTAGATATAACATATTAGTTGGAGATTATATATACACACTAACACAAAACAAACAAATATTGAACACTAAACTAAATTTTATAATCTTTCTGAATTTCTTTGTATCATCTGATAGCTGCTGCTTCTACGAGGAAGCGTCTTGGCTGCAATGAAATGATAAACATATGGGACAGACCATTAATTAGTATTTAATTAATTAAAACATGTAAAAAATGTAAAGTAATTTAGTGAAAAAAAAACATATAATTAATTACTTACTCTATAATTTGTTTCCAGTAGTACTTGCTTGCTTCATCATCCATAAGATCTCCCAAAGCATCAAAAGTGGTTGAGGTAGATGAGTTTGAGAATTGATCTTTTGGGCTTATAATATTGCTTTTATTAGTTTGATCATCTCTATTCGCTACGAAGGGCGGATCTGAGGAGGATGCCGGAACCAGTTCTGGCATCGAATAATTATCGCTACCGTGAAAGGAAGATGCTGATGTCCCATATTCATGATTGGTGCCATTAACGTGTTGAGTAGATTTTATCGACGTATCTTCAAATCCAGGCTGGAAGATAGCTTGAGAAACGTTTAAGTTTGGAAAAGTTGATGTAGGAGCAGGAGGGTACGGAGAAATCCCAGTCGAGTTACTATGTAACAATGCTTCTAACTGTGGATCCAATATTAATGGAGTAGGATATTGTTGATGTAGCCGATCAATACTAGTACCAGTACCAGTACTAGTGTTTAAGAATTGCGATATGTTACCAAAGTATAACATTTTGGCAAGTTCTATAGCAGTAGTTGAATATTGGCATGCTAGAGCATTGTTAATGCATAAATTATTTGCAGCTGCAAGAAGCTGATCAGGTGGAATATTTGCGAGGGGATTGATGAGGAGATTGTCAGTTCTAGGCATATGGGTGGTTGGATCAATCCCTTTTTGAAGTAGCTTCTTCTTCAGATGAGTATTCCAGAAATTCTTGATTTCGTTATCGGTTCGTCCCGGTAGATGACTTGCTATGGTTGACCACCTATACACATTCACCAAGATCATATTACAACCTTTTCGTCATTTTAGTTATATCATTTAAATCTTGTCTTTAACATGTCCTTCATGGATAGACGGGTTGACGATGAGGCTTGAAGTTACGATGTTGAACTATTTGATCTAAACAAAATTGATTATATGAGAAGGCAATATACACGTACTTGTTTCCGAGAAGAGCATGAAGTTCGAGGATTGTTTGTTCTTCTTCCTCGGAGAAGGTTCCTCTTTTGATATCGGGGCGTAGATAATTAGTCCACCTTAACCGGCAACTCTTTCCACATCGATTGAGTCCGGCGAGCTTTGATACCTCTTTCCAATTTCCATGTCCATACTTTCGGATGCAATCGACGAGCTTTTGATCTTCTTCGGGTGTCCACGGCCCCTTCTTTAGCCCGTTCGTCTCGTCGCAGCTGCTTGTTGATGATCTTTCCATCAAATACACTTACTTACCTGCAGAAATTCGATAACTTGATATGTGAGAGAGCTAACTAGTAGAACCAAAAAGGTGGAAGGTAATTTACAAACCTGGATGGGGTCGTGAGAAGAAAGAGTTAGATTTTGTTTTTTACGCGAATGAGTTGAGGTTTTATAGTGAATATGTCCGCATTCACGTAATGACAAGCCTCTGTTTGTTCAAATTAAACTAAAATGAAATAAAATATCAAATCAATCAACTATCTTTGAATATAAGAGCATGTTTGATGGATATTATTGAGAAAATAATATATTTTAAATAGAGATTAAAATAGGTTAAAATTGAAAAATCAGCCGTTATTGTTGACTTTTATTAGAAGAGTGAGACTCAATAA